AATAGTTTTTTTTCTCTTACTTAATTGGCCTCTCAGAGTTGGTAAGACAACTCCCACCTGTTCATGCTCTCTGTATGTGTGTATATATATCTCCTCAATATATGGTTCACTCTATATGCATCCGAAAAAGTGGGCTGTAGTCCACGAAAGCTTATGCTCTAATAAATTTGTTAGTCTCTAAGGTGCCACAAGTACTCCTGTTCTTTTTGCCATAAAATATTGTGTTGTGTTTTTGCAAATACATCTATTGCACTGATGTGCTTCCATCTTTTAAATCATGTACCCTTTGCTTGCAAGGTTGGGTTAAGGATTCTGTGAACTTTTCCCCACTCAAACATTTTTCTACTAAAGCAAACCAAAACAAAATAAACCCACAACAACCAGAAACATTGCCCTGCACCCAGCATCTTAAAACGGGATGTTTTTAAATATTCCAAATTTAATTTTTAGAATTTTAGTTTTATAATATAACAGCACTGGTCAGTTTGCACATAATTTATATTCATTTTTATAACCGGTGCAGTCATTGCAATCAAGAAAGGGTATTAATAAACACCACTGTGCAATGTTAACCAAGTAGATGCTGGCCCAAAATGGCACCAACTTTATTCTCTGTTACAATAATACATTATCTTTGTCACAGTTTATCCAGCTGGAAATATTACTTTTGATCAGTGGTTTTTCATATATTTAATCAGACACATTCATTTTTATTATCATACAGGGGTTTAGAAATGTTTATGCAAGTGACCATGCTCTGGTAGACAATTTATTCTCACCAATACTCTACTGCAGTCTTGATTTAGCTAAAGGTGATGGAAAAATATGAAGTGTCAGCATAGTAGGAAATAGAGACGTACACTACATATGCCAGCTGCCAAACAGGAAAAGTTTGAGAATATTATTTGGTGTGGTGTTTGTACAGTACATTTGCATATATCCAGAAACATAATAAATAGTGTATTTCCATCATTCAATAAGTGTACTCTGGGCAGTATTTAGCTGAAGTTCAAACATGGCAAATAGACTGCAGATTACTTGATAAATCCTGTTGTGTGCAAGCAACTTGAAGAAAATCAATATAATCTGCATTATAACAATTGTCTAAGTAGCTACAATTACTTATAGTATTAAACCTCAGGGAACTTATTAGTGGACTCCCTAGGTAGAACTGCCTAGTGTTTTTCATTCCAGCTTCTGATTTCTTCTTTGTGAAATACCATACAGCTAATATTAATTCACTACATAGAAATGTGCTGCACAGCAAGGTATAATATAATGAATGTGTCTTTATACTGTGCCAACTCCTGACATCCTTACGTAGGCAAACTTCCATTGACTGCAGTGGGAATTGGCCTATTTAAGGAATGAGTGAAAAATAAGTAAAGACCTCTTGATTTTACTTGAAAAATATTGGAAAAGAAAATGTTTTAATCTCTTAGAGACTTTTATAGAGGCTACCTTTTATATCACAAGAGACCTTCTACCCAACTGTGTGGTATTATTAAATGTGAATGAAGATGCTTGACTGAACTAAATAACTTCAGAGCTTTGCAATGTACAGAGTAATTTGTTCATGGTGGACTAATCCATTACAATTATTTTGTCTGGTTGAGCTAGCTATTCTGTGTAAGTGATCCCAACCTGTAGCTCCCCTTCTATATGGAACAAATCCTGCCTTAAGTATTTTTACCCCCAAACTAACCGCTGTTACATTAATTGCTTGGAACCTGTCTTACGAAAGGTGGAAAATCCTTCCCTTTTTTTTTTGAGGGGGGGAACTTTGCTGGAGAATTGAGGTTGTGCCAGGACTGGTATTCCTGGATGCATCCTTATGCTAACAACAAATGTATGCTAAAATTCGACAGAATCCGAATCACGGTAACATGGCTCAGAAGATGGATTCCACATAGGTGACTGGTGTGGAGTTAACTGGTGGAGGGAGAGCTTGTTAATCACAATCTGGTTATTTTCATTCTGTCAGACTTAAATAAAATGTTAATGGGAGAAAGGGTAGACAGTGGATCTGGAAAAGAGCAGGAATGCAAATTGTTTCGGTCCATGATATTTGCTCCCTATAAATGACTGTCTGGTATGACTACATCCAGCATAAATAGACAGAACAGGCACCATTTATTTTCAGAACAGTCAAAACTGCATATAAAAGAACAAGGGATTGTTTTAAAATCTCATAGTTACAACAACCTTGTGGTTTAGAGACTGGACTGGGATTTATGAGCTCTGAGTTCAGGTCCTGGCTCTGCTACAGACTTTCAGAATATTCTTGTTCAGGTCATCTAATTTCTTTGCCTCATTTTCTACCCCTAAAACTGGGAGGATACTACTTCCCTACCTCAGAGGGATGTTGTGAGGATCAGTTAAATACACATAAAGTGCTTTGAAGATGAAAATGCTAGGGGTTAATTATTGTTACGAGGCCTAGTCCTGCTATCCTCTCTGAGGCATGGGTCTGCAGGATCAAGCCTGTTATAACAGCTACCAGGGAAAGAGAATTATAATAAATACAGAACTGTAGTTGTGCACTCTTTCCCGTTCCCCAATTTCAAATGTTCTTGAATGATTTTTTTCATTTAAAAAAAAATAAGATTGAGGCAGAAGAAGCTCCATCTTTGGAACCCCAGGCTGAAGAACCCCTCTCTCCCCCTGCCGCTGCGCCTGTTGCTGCCGCTGCACCTGTTGCTGCCACGGTTCCTGTTGCTGCCGCTGCGCCTGTTGCTGCCGCTGCGCCTGTTGCTGCCACGGTTCCTGTTGCTGCCGCTGCGCCTGTTGCTGCCACGGTTCCTGTTGCTGCCGCTGCGCCTGTTGCTGCCGCTGCACCTGTTGCTGCCGCTGCACCTGTTGCTGCTGCTGCCGCTGTTCCTGAACAGGAAGCTCTGCCTGCTGAGCCTAGTGAGCCAGCAGAGGAAGCTGTGGTGAGTGACCAAAACCTCATATGCCCCGAGCTTTCCTCTGATTTTTTTTTTTGTTCATCGTTGTGTATGTGTCCACCACATTACAGCCGTCCTTTCCATTTTTATCCTCTTTACTTTTAGGGCTGGTTTCCATTCTGGCCTCCCATGTCACAACAGGCTTTCCAAAAGCTACGTGTGCCTTTTTACCCTAAAATGTCATTCCTCTCATGGCTGGCGTTTCAGACCGAAGTTCAACTGAACTACTGTGGATTCAGATATTGTAACTGTCAGACAAACATAACCAGGGAAATGAATTGATACCATTTATAAATGACACTATTAATGCTTTTCTCTTTTCAAGATGATCAAGTGGGGAGATAAGTACTGGGCTAATGTACATCTTGAATGTTGTTTGATTGAGTATTGAACTGCTTCCTAATAAAAACCAAAACACAGGTTTATGCAAGTCTCCTAATGTTAGAAGCCAGCCGGAGAACTGAGCTCCAAAGCCAATTGAGGGTATCCAATTGAAGATCTCACAGTCAACATTCAGAAAAATGAGAGTCAAATGTTGTGGGAAAAGATGATGGCTCTCAAAGAAAACCACAGCAAGGTTGCCTAAGCTGCTTCCCTCTCCTCCCCAGCCAATCTGTTATATTTCAAGAGGTACTCTAAGCCAGTGGTTCTCAGTCCATATTGGGTTTCCCTTTTTCCATAATGTGGCCACCATGGAGCCTCTTCCATCTAGCCGGGGCACCCCTGCTATTAACAATATGGAAAGGCCAGAAGGGTTTCACCCCAGTGCTGAGAATCCATGGTCTAAAGAAAAATGCATCCATTTCTGTTGACTGCCAGCCTAATAGTATATCTGCTTCCACAGGCACTATTATCTTTCTCCAGGTCAGTAACTAGTGGTCTATCACTGTTAGAATCTGAACAGGTATTCACTGGGCCAAATCCTGACTTCCCACGACTCACATTAAAGGTTATTAAATCAGATTATATCACCATTGCTTTTCACTCACTTATAGATAGATTGTAAGACATTGTGTGTGGGAAGAGAAGAATTTGGCTGGAAGCCATCTGAGGCATTACCCTCATTTGAAGGCACTTTAATCACTCCTATTTAGAGTTAGTAAAATAATCCAAAGAATTATTTGATATTCCACATAACTGCTCCAAAAATCCAGTTCACTGAGGCCCATAACTGAGTCTGGAATTTTCTTGTGGACTGTTGCAGACACATGACCCAGAATTAGGAAAAAAACCTGTTTTAGGGGTCCATCCTTCTGCCATTGAAGTCGATGAGTGTTTCATTCACCTTTTATGACCCTCAGGAAGCAGTTTGATCCAGAGATAGGGGCACTGGATGGGGAATCAGAGGACGTAATAGGTGACATGGGCAAGTTTCTGTGCCTCATTTTCTGGTGCTGCCTACTTTGTAAAGCTAGGTATTTATTAGTAAGAGCAGGATTAGTCCTTCCTTCATCCACCATTTCACTAGGGGTAGGGGAAGTGGACGTCTGCTTTTTCCTGTTTGACTATATGAAATCAAAACAGTGCTTGTCTACATCTAGACAAACATATCATCTATAGAATTTATTTATGGCATACGTACTGCAGTGAACAGGCCTTATCATATGTGTCGTGGGACTCTACTCAAAATCATGCTACCAACCCATACTCTGGCCACAGCCTAGAAAATAGCTGGAGGTTTGTTTACATTGAAATAGTGATACTGCGATGGGTCACCTTTTTTTAGAACTACTGTTTCCCGCAGTTTCTCTGCAGACTCAATAAATGTATTTTATCATTGCATTAGTTCACATGCAGAAGGCGTTCTTCACAGCCAGAAAACAAGGTGCTTACATTTTGCAGAAATTGCTCTGGACCCGAGAGAAGGGCTGTTACTGCATGCCAACCATGTGTACCTACAGCCTGAGTTTCACTCAGTGGTATAAGATCAAGAATCCTGATGTTAGCTCTATTTGATTCACACAGTCTCAAATGCAAATGAATACTTGGTACTCACTAAGAGTTAGTTTGACCCTTTAAGCTCAGTCATGTGGTAGAACAAGTAACTAATTGCAACTCTGAAAAGAGTTTGATGTACTTTTTTTCCCTTGCACCTGGCTGGGTCCAATGGCTGGCCTGTTTAGTGTGGGGGGAGCATGCAGAAGCCATGTATTCATCCTCCCTGACCCATGGCTACCCTGGCCACTTGCCTATAGATAGTACAAGGGCTGTGCTGTACAAGGGAATTGGAGTCACAATCTGGGTAGCCATAATGTAGCTGCATGTGGGTCCTTACTTCCCATGCTCCCTTACACTGTCTTTAGGGCCTCATTCTAGTTTTATTTACATTGGTTAACTCTTTATTGGTTTTCATGGGTTTACGGCAGATGTTCACCAGAGTGAGCTCAGAATCAGCCGCTTACAATAATTCATCCAACAACATTAAGCCTCTGCAATTTGTATGTGTCTGCTCCTCCTGTCTGTGTTTTCTTTTGAATTGGTATAAATCACAGTAATAACGTGTCAACATCATGGAAAGGCAAAAAGAGAAACAGCCTGTCTCTGAGGCATAGCATTTTGTCAAACCTTGGTCTAAGATGCCTACCCTCTACTCTTTGTAAATGTGAGAGTTTAGAATAAACGAGGAGGGGGGAAAACTAACCATTAGCCCCGATCTCTTCTTCATTTCAGTGAACAGAATTGTGTACAAAATAATTTTGAAGAGCAGATTATAATGAACCTTAAGAGGCTGTTTCTAAAATTGGTTTGATTTTGTCTTTTTACAGGGATTTCATGGAAGGAAATAATCTTTGAATAAATTATTTTCCTGAAAGAAGAGATTGCTAACCCCTTTTTATCCTCAGTTGAGGCAAAGTGAAAGTATAAAATCTATTATACACCTTGAACGCTAATTAACTGACAGGCTGTAACTGCAGTCACCACTTGCTCATAGTGGGATGAACTGACCCTTTTACATAATCCTTTTTGCTGCTAAATGTCACATGCAGTTTTTAGTTCATGTTCTGCTAGAATATGGTACAGCCGAGGCAGAAATTACAGTGTTATTGTGAAAGAGGGAGACAAATAATTTGAGAATGAGGCAATTTAGTAGCAATTCGGAAGACAGATGATAGATATTAAATAGCAGTTAAATGATTTTTGTTAAGGTTTTCTCCTTTTTAGTTTCATTTACAAAATAAAACAAGTTCTTGCTCATTTGAAAAAAGGAGTCCTCTGGGAAATAAGAAATGAAACATGCTGATGTTAATAACGCATGCAGTAGATTTACTGTTGGAATTTGATCCAGTGGGAGAAGCAAATGTTACTTTAGAAAAATAGCTTTTAATATGTGATGTAAAAAGAGTTTTTGAAGATTAAGATTAAGGAAGAAATAGATAAAAGGTCAAAGGCCAACATTTGATAAGGATACCATAGATGAAAACATTCCTCAATAGCAGTCCTGCATTCAGTTTATCAGTGTGAATTTTTTAAAAATTTGTGTTATATTTGTAAATTTTCTTCCACTACATATCTCTTCTGGCTTTACATTATACTCCAATTATAGCAGCAGCATCAATAGGTGCAATTTGCCTCTAGTATATTTCCTGTCAGACCATGCTATGCCAGAAAATGTACCTTAGAAATGTATTGCCCACCTTGTGGGGCTGGGGTAAATTTTCCAGCATAATGTGGGTCTCATTTAATTTGAAGGAAGAGAAGGGATAGTCCAGTTATCAGGACACTAAGCTCTGACTTGGTAGACTTGGGTTCAAGTGCCTGCACCTCCACAATCTTCCTGTGTGGCCTTGGTAAGTCGCTTAGGGTATTGACACTGCTCACATCAGCGAGCCACCTGTGTCAGAAGATTCGGGCTAGTAGTGCTTGCACTAGCACTGTAAAAGCAGCCGTGTAGACATCATTTAGAAGTTGTGTCTCGGGCTCTGAAGCTCCAGCCCAAGCCACAACTGTCTACACTGCCTTTTTTAGAATGGTAGTGCAAGCACCACTAGCCTGTCTCTCTCAGTCCAGGCTGGGAGCCTCGCTGCTGCGTGCAGTCCACTGGCAGTATAGACGCACCTCCTGGAACAGATTCTCAATGGTATTTATTTAGATGTCTAAAGATGCATATATGCAGCTAGTGGAATTTACAGAAGCACCTGAAGTCAATTATTTCAATGACACTTCTGTAAATCCCACTAGGTGCATATTTGAACCTTCTGGTACCTCAGTACCTTTAAAAATCTGGCCCTTAGTCTCTCTCTACCTCAGTTCCCATCCGTAAAATGGGGATACAGGTACTTTAGATAGATGTGATTTATGGATAAGTCCCTCTATAATTTAATGCATATCTTGGGAAATTTCCTATCTGAATACTCTCATTTAAGTCAAAGGGGCTTCTTGTGGAGCATGAACTCATAGTGAGTAGTAGCTGTCAGAATCTGGCCTTGTTGTTGTTTACTTATGATTCTTTAATCCTTATTCTCCTGTTTTAAAATGTTTTAGTCCCCAAGTGAGGGAACAGAATCAGTATGACATGGCTTAAATAATAAATTGCACACATATAAAGAATAGCAAATAGACAAAGGTAACTGTTCAAAAACCATCCTTTGCCTGGAAATTGATTGCCCAAATTGTTTAGTAAATACTTAGAAACAACAAATGCATTTGCAGAAATCCAGGTTGATACCTTAATGATTTGCAAACGGGGCAGGGAGGGAGGAACTAAATTTGTTTTTTCAGACAGCTGTAAGTAGCTGATTTAAGTAATATGATAGCTTATAGTAAGCTTCAGATCCATACCAATAGGTCTCATTCGGTAATATTATAAGAGTATTTTTTCCAAAGGCCAAATCCTGAAGTACTTGTTATTCAGGCATAAGTCCTGCTAACACAAATGGCCCTTAGATGTGAATAGTTCTTGAAAAATCAGTCTGGTATTTTCTGCAGTCAGATACCTGGGTATTTTCTTTCATCCTCTATTTTTTCTTCAACAAACATACTTAATG